TAAATATTACGAAAAAACTTTGGTAGGTTAATAGCAGGAAACGAACAACACAAGAAGAGAGTATTCCGTATGATTGGCGAGCGAATTAAAACGCTTTATAAACGAAGAAACATATTACTACATCTACTCTACCCTACGTACACACTACTCTATGTCCTCAACGCCCGAGTCACAAAGTCGTTACCTGGCCGAGTATCCAGTTCGCGAAGCTTCGCTCCCCACTCCGTGACTTCCACACTCCACCTCGTGACTTCCGCCTCCAGACGCTTTTTCTCCTCCGCAAGTTCGTTCTTCTCCGCCTTCCACTCTTCCCGCTGCGCAGCAGTTCCTCCTTCTCCTCGTAACCTCCCTTTCAGCACCTCCAGCCACTGTCCATCTCCCCCCTTCACGAATTCCTCCAAAGCCTTCTCTGCCTTCTCCAACTGCACCTTGGCGTCGTTCAGCTCTCGCTCGGTTTTCTCGACAGTCGCCATTTCTTTTTTTCGTTAAGGAAGATGTGCTGCGCGATGTGATCTTCTCACAATTGCTGCGATTGTTTCCATTGTATGCAGAGTGACCAATGATAATAGAAACAGCACTAGTCGCTTACTTAACCACAACTCGATAAATATCGTTGAAACAATACAACGCTTAAAGTAATAAAACAAATCTGTCAATTTCCACAATAATCCACTACGAAAAATGCTTACAATCACAAGCAAATTCTTTTTTGGAGTATTTATTGGCTTCGCTCTCGGCCTGTTGCTAAATGGCATAAGTTAGTGATAGTGCTCGTTTATGGTTTATTATTTTTCATTCTTGATAAACTTCATAAGTGATTTTTTCTTGATCTAGATATTCCTGGAAAGTTTGGGTATCATAAATTTTAAAAACATATGGAGCAATCTTTTCTCCTTGTTCTTTTTTAGAATGCTTTTAATAGTACTGTAATTTTTTGGTTCCATGATAGATTTAATGGAAATTAGTTCTATATTTATATTTTTATATAGAGATAATCCTATTATAGTTTATATTCATCACATTCTGGTATAATAAAGGAAATATTAAAATCAACAAGTCTATAAGTTATGAATAAGCACCATTATTACTTTTCAAAAAGTTATCAATCACACTGATCAATTTTATAGCCGTATCATAATCAGTCTCTCATTTATAAAATGTTTACTTTGTTTGATTTTGTTGCAGCATATTTTATATCATAATTATTATCTTTTTTATTTGTTTTTTTATCTAAGCTATTTTGATTAAATCTTGAAGTATCTACATATTTAACTATAATTAGCAACTTTAAATTAAAAGAATTTGAAATATTTAATATTTTATCTTCTTCATATTGAATAATTAATTCAGATAAATTCAAATTAGATATATTTTGTACTTTATTGACTTTTCATAACTTTTAGTTAAAGAATCTTTTATCATTTGAAGAATTTCTTTTTGAATATTACTGATTGATAATAATATAATTCATTTTTAATATTAGTCATATAATATTGATATATTTTAATTAATAATTCAATAATTTGAATTGATAAGCATGTTCTTTTTTCATAAATCTAACTAACTGATAATTAAGTTTGTTTATAATTAGTTATATGTAATATTGTATTGCTAATAATACATTGCTCATAAACTTATCTTTGACTTTGTATTGCTAATAATACATTGTTCAACACATTTATCTTTGATTCGTATTGTGGATAATACGAATATTAAATCTTATATTCCGACTTTAAAGATTTAAAGACATTTTTAATACGTACATTATATTTGACATTGAAATTTTGAAATTAAAAATAATTTAATAACCAGAATTTGAAGTTGATTTCCAAATACAAAACAAGTATTTTATCATTTTAATGATATATTATTAATAGAAATATATGATAAATTGAATATGATTTTTGTAAAATATAATTATGTATTTGAGAGATTAATTCATTATATGAATTTTTGTTATATCACATTTTTTTTAAAAATTTTCACTTTTAATAAGAATTTCATATAATTGATTATTAAAAATACTAGCACTTAAAATACAAATATATATATATACTAATTAAATATTATAAATAAATATTATAATATTTACCTTTATATTGAGAATGTAAAACAAATAATAATAAATATATATTATTATCAAATATATATTAATTAATTAATTTTTTTAATAAAATTAAATAAATAAATAAAATTAATTTACTGTTTATTGAATTTTTTAATCGAATAAATAATTTTTAAATATGCAATAATTTACTTGAAATAAATTTTGTAATATAATATTAATTTACAAAAATTCAATAAAACAATCTGCTAAATTAGTATTTTTAATTAATATTAAAATACTAGTAAGAACTTTAATATTATTAAAAATTCATATTTGTTAATAATAATTTTAATATTGCTGCTTATTTGATTTTGATATTTTTCATATATCTAATATATAATTAATAAATAAATATAAGTATATATATATATATATATATATATATATATATTATATTAAATTTATCTTAAAAAGACAAATTTTAAGATATAAAACAAAAATTGTACAATCTATTATTGTAATTCATCAAGATTTAACAAATATTTTTAATTTATTATTAGATATTTCTTTTTGAATATAAATTTTTTCTAATAAATTATCACAAATATGTGATTTTTAAAATAGATAACTAAAATATTATAATATTGAAGAATTTTTATTACAAAAGAGTGTTTTAAAATATTATGTAAAATTAAATTAAAATAAGCAATGAATATTAAAAATTTTTAAAAATTATTTAGTAATTAATAATCAAGTCAAAGAAATATTTGAATTACTATTTGTTATAATTACACCAAATTTTTTAATTTCAATTTATTAAAGAATTTTTAATATTTTTTTAAAAATTTTTTCTTAAGTATGTCATTCTTCTATTAAAAAATAGATATTTTTAATGAAATAAAATAAAAATAATAAAATTTCAAAGTGAATAATAAAGTTTATCTATTTAAGATTATTATAAAAATAATAATAAGTAATATATTTAATATTATTAATAATAATTTAATAATATAATTTATATACATATTTAATATTAAATTTATTATATTATCAAATATATATTTAATTTTGAGATTAACATATACTACTTTATGTTCAAGAAGTTCAATTAATAATTTTCTTCATGAAAAAAATTTATAATTAGAACATAAAGTTTTTAAAAGTTCAATAAAAAAATGAATTTTCAATAATTACAAATACAAAATTACAATAAATAAATGCTTTTATCAAAATATTATTAATATTTTTTTGACAAGAACTAATAATTTTGATATTTTCAAAATATTATTAAATATCAGATTTAATAGATAAAATTAAAATAGAAATAGACAAAATAAAAGTAAATAAAATTAAAGCAAAAGTAAAAATAGATAAAAAAGAATTTATATTTTATTTTTATATTTAAAATATTATTTTCTTGAATATTATTATTTTTATATATTTTATATTTACTAATTCTGAATATTATAAATAATATAAAATTAAATAAATATATATTATTGCTGGTTTTGCTATTTTTCAATATGTTTTACAATAAGAATATATTTCTTTATAGTAATTATAAGAGATTCCAAATTGATAAAAAATAATATTGTTGTATAATGACCTTTCGTCATAATATTTTATTGGATTATAAATATCTCATATCTTATTGGATAAAGAT